ACAAGCGTGCGCCTCGTGGGGGGTAACCTCATGTGCGGCAGCGACCTTCCGGGAACCCCACCATCAGGCGCACTGCTGACGCTCTTTGGTATCGACATGGTATGCGGCTGGCGGTACCTGGACTTCTTTACCCCATCTAGGACCGGTCTTATCTTTGCCCTCTCGGGCTTTGACGCCGTCCATCGACTTCAGCCAAAGTTTGACTTCGCCGCTTTTTGTGCAAGTGATGTTTACGCCGAGCCCAACTGCGAGGCCATCTACGACGCGTCCTACACCTATGTAACAGCCTTCTTTCCAGATGCAGCAACTCTCCAAGCATTGGCAGTTGCAGCCGAGACCGACACCCGATCTCTCTCGATTGAAATGACCCAGTACGTCAATCGTAGCGGCGTCATCGAGCTATACCGAATCAATATTCTGGATCCGACCGACCGCTCCTGGACGTTCTTTGGCTGGAACTATCTGGCCGAGTGGGTTGTCGGTCAGCGCGAAGTTGTCTCGTTTCAAGGCGACGGCGGCACGGTCACGGGCATGTCCCGCTTTACGCTCCTCTCCACGCTCTTGCCAACCGAAGCGGCGATCCCGACACGCCTCTCGTACGTCTGTCAGCAGTGTGTCCGGTACGTCACGGGCGCCATCATGGTGGGTGCGGGAGTTGCTGCCTACTACGCTATCTTTGTTTGCCGCGGCTACATTGAAGGCATGAACCTTTTCTCGGTAAACCGACTCATTGGCCACGCGTGGATTGGTCGGACGCTGCTCATCATTCGCGGTATCACGGCGCTTTGGCTGCTCAACACACCGCCCTTGCAGCTCCAGGCGTTCGGCGTCGGTGCTCGCTTTCAGGCATCGCCGCTAGAGTGGTTCCCGACGTTCCTTGCTACATCCGAGCTCACATGGCTGGTCTACATCGCCAACGACCTCTTCAGCTGTGTTACGCGGCAGTATACGCTCCTCTACGCCTGGAAGAGCTCGGTCGCAGCTTGCATAGTCGCAGTGGCGTGGAGGTTTGCCGCGCCTCAATACTACACTGCCTACGTGCGCCGAAGCTGCCGGTACATTGACATGGACGTAGCTCTGAGCTGCACGAGCGGCTACGTCGAGCTTGGTCATTGGAGCCGCGTTGGCGTTGACGTCGGTCTCTGTCTCGGGAGTGTCATTCTGGCGGCTCTTATCGAGCGACTACGGTATCCGCATCTCTTGGCGCCACCCAAACCGTCGCTCTTGCTCAATGCGACGAGTGTCTACTCGTTGGAAATGGCCAACTGGACAGTAGACGGTCACGTCTACTTGGACCGCATGTCGGCCGCGATGACGGGCTTGTTCACGTGGCGAGTGCGCGGCGTTATACATGTGTTTGACATCAAGAGCTGGCGGCATTTCACGGCCACGCCCGACTCCAAGAGTTTCTTGGACCCGGCCTCTGTCCTACCCCTCCACCGCATTTGTTGACGCCAGGTTTGAGCATGGTTATCATGATGAATCGAGGCATGTATTTTCTAAAGCATCTAGTTTCTACCGAATCTGGTCTAGTTATATGGCAACTAAACTCGTACGTACGCGCGGGCTGTGGAGATAAAATGTCCGGTGACGCGTTGGGCTTCGCACTGTTGCATGCTAGTACAACACGCACTGTTACTGCACGATAAGAATCATTTAGTGTGTATTCCTGTCAGCCCGATATGCCGTCTACTAGTGTCTCAACTTAGTCGTTGGATTCGAGCGCAGCTTGAAGCCGCGATTCGATGAGCTCCACGACAGCGCTTTGAAATGCCTGCATCGCCGCCAAGTGCGCTGACGGCATGCGCAGACGCGGCGCGGCGTCGGCGACGGCCACGGTGCCCAGCACGAGGCCGTCCATCGTAACGATCGGCAGACCGCAGTAAAAGCGAACCCGCTCTTTTCCGGTGACGCGAGGCGACGTTAGGAAGCGGACGTCGGCCGAGGCGTCGGGTACGACCAAGAGATCGTTGGCGAGCGTTGCCGCCGTCAACGCGCAATCGGCCGGCACCTGCGCCGGTACCGAGGCGCCAAAGGCGCCCTTGAGGATGTACGCGCCTTGGTAAATCAGCGTGACGTACGCATTTGCACAGTCCATGTCTGTGGTTGCGGATCGGCAAAAGGCGTCGTGGACGTCGTTGGTGCCGACGTCAAGACACGCAAAGTGCCGGATCTGGTCCACCAACGTCTCTTCCGCCTCGGTGGCAACCACCGGTGTCGCCGCCACCGGTGTGCCGACCTTCGGCGTGGTGGTCATTGGAGCGTGGGTGGTGGTTGGGTACATCGGAGACGGCGCGGGCGGCGGCAGTGAGCTCCGGCGACTGTGGTTGGACGAGCCTTGCGACACGCGCAGTCCGTCCTCGAGCTTGGAGTTGTTGGACGACGAGTTGCGGGAGGCACGGGCCGGCTCGTCGAGTTCGGGCAAAAGCGGCAGGTCAGCCGGGTCGAAGAGCAACACAGGTTTATTCTGGCGGAGGTAGCGCTGCTTCGAGCTCGATGCCTTCTTTTCACTCAAGCTCACGGTGCGCATGAGCTCTGTGTTGTGCATGTGCGACGGCGCTTCGTCGTGGAGAATGATCGGGTCAGAATACCGCGCCACCGCGGTCGTCTGCGCTCGGTGCCGCAGCGCACACGCGTGGCACAGCTGCAGATCGAGCACGGTGCCGCCGCCGACAGGGATGGGATCGCGCACCGAGCAGTGGGCACAGCACGGCGCCGCGCACGAGCCGCAGGCACCCGCCGACGGCCGGCCGCACCGACACACGGTGACGATGGTCGTGGTCGCATTGGTAGCCTTCTTCTCGTCGTTCGGACGCGACTGCGACCGCGGTTTCGTGGCGACTTGGTGGGCGTACTTGTCTTGGACTTGCTTGAAGCACACGTGGCACACGTGGACGCGCGTGACGAGGCCGTCAGCAGTCTCGATTTCTTCGTGGCGGCAACACTTGGCGCAGACGTTGCCGTGGCAGAGTTGGCACTCGTTGGCTTTGCGAAAGAGGCGAAAGGTCTTCTTGCAGTGCATGCACGCCGATGCATTCGCGATCGCGGGCAGTGGCGGCGGCGCGTCCATCTGAATGCGGTGCGACTGCGGCAGCTCGAGCGCCAGCCGGCGCCGGAGCACGATTTTGGTCAAAAGCGAGATCGAGTCGCCGAGCTTGTTGAGAAACCGGCACGTCTCGTCGGCACCGAGGTTCGTCGCGGGCTTGGTCGACGACAAGACGTGGCTACCGTAAAACGTCAAGCGTAGCCGGTTGGAGCGCGACACTTTTTCAAAGTAGTAGCCAAACGTGAGTCGGTGGTGGCGAGGCAAGTCATCGTGACCGACCGACTCGTCGACCGACTCGAAGTAGCGCACTATCGACGTTGGCGTCAGCGTCTCAATGTGCTCGAGGCACACGAGCTCCTTCTTGAAGACGCGTGCGTTGAAGCGCACGCGCTTGAGGCTCGTGGCGCTAATCTCGACATCGCTAGATGACGCGGTGGGTGGGTAGCTCGTGACTTCGCGCATCTCGAGCGCGCCGTCAAAGACGCGGGCCAAGAACGGGTCGGCGGCCGGCGTCGCCTGCGCAAACACCTCGAGGACGTCGGTGAGCGACGCATGGAGCTCGAGCATCGCGTGCACCGAGTACTGCCGCGACATATCGTCAAAGTGCACGCTCGGCGACGACTTGGTCGACGCCAGCGCCCGGTGGTTCATCTCCATGCAGTCCTTGGCGAACGCCAACGCGCAGTCGCGGGCAAAGGCGACGGTCTTCTTGGTGCTTTCGCTAGTTGCCGGCCGCCGGGAGCGGCTACGACCGGCAGCCTCGGCCTCGATCGGGTGCTGGCTGTAGATGGTCGCTGGGCCCACGATCGTGTAGCTAAACTCGGGCATCGATCGTCAAGCAGTGCGCCAAGAGTGTGGACAGCCGGTCCGGATAATGCGCATCATATGTAATGGGTCGGCGTATCCACGTCGGCGCTTTTTTATGGGAATTTGGCATTGGCTTGGGTTGTGTATACTCTCGATCGTTTGCGTCGACACAGTTAGTATTTGCGACGCTGTTACGCCACGTTGAACGGACTTGCGAGGCATAATATTGCACTGCCAATATGAAAGTAACTTGTCCAAAATGCGCTGGCACGAAGGAGCGAGAGCAATATGGAGGCTTGTCTACGGTACGACGAGGGCCTTTCTGTGCCGGGTGCACAGGCGCGTGTTTAGGGACCGAGAAGAGTCATCATACATAGGTGACCTTAGTTCCTCGCCAGCAGGCTGCTTGTTGCAGCGATCGGCAAGACCAACATATTGCCCACAGGCGCGCTCGTCCTGCAATATACGTCACGCTATGAATATACGTCGCCACACGGTGGATTTGTGCCTTTGCATACAAACACCAAGCTATTGCCAGCGCCCCAGCCGTGCATGTGGCGCAATGTCCCTCACAATACGGTATTTTTAAATGAGCTTGCTTTCAATATTCATGGGACAATATACGTCGATGTATTTTCAAACTGTGTCAGATTTTTGTCTACCAGAAGCCCACTGCGTTTAGCTTGGTGTTTGTATGGTGGCAAGAAGTCAGTTGCGAAAATCGGGGTTGGCACGCATGGACGACCTCTCACTGCCGTCGTCACCGCCGCTTGTGGCACCGCCGGCGTCGCTCGGCCGGCCCATGGAAGAGATCATGGGCGACGTCGTACCTGAGAAGCGCCGGCGCGTCTCGAGCAAGGCGTCCTTGTCCGAGGACAGCCAGATCGTGCTCTTTGTCGACAACATCAAACGCCAAGTGCTGAGCCGCTTTAGCCTGCCCGACTGCACGCTGCACCACACGGGTCGCGACGTCTCGATCACGTGCTGGCAGTGCGGCAAGATGATCAAGATTGCGACGGGTCATTTGCACTTACGGAGCCTCAAGTCGCACCTCGAACGGTGCAAGGGCACATGCGGCGTGCGCGCAGCGCCGAGCGCCGAGCTCGACCCGACCAAGAAGCGCCGCGTCTCGAGCAAGGCCGCGATCTCCGAAGCCAACAAGGTCGCGCTCTTCATCGACCGCGTCCGGCGGCAAATCATCAAAAAGTTCAACGTGCCCAACTGCAAGCTCACGCACATGAACCGCGAGGTGAGCGTCGTCTGCTGGAACTGCGGCAAACCGATCAAGATTGCGAGCACGCGCTTGAACCTCGCGAACCTCAAGACGCACATGACGCGCTGCCACGAAAAGATGCCGAGCACCAACGGCAAGGTCCACGAGGCCGCGCGCGTGCCGAGCAACGCGCCCAAGATCTACCTCTGCGCGGGCCTCGTCTCGGACGAGATCCGCACCTACTGTGCCAATGCGACGCGCATGTTTGGCGGCTGCAATCGGCGCGAAGACATTCTCAAGTCGCTCTTTGGCCTCCGGTCGCTCAAGAACCTGAGTTCGCAGCAGCTCCTGGAGTTTCAACAATATGAGTTTAGCACGCGCAAGTGGAACATCATTGGCACGACCATCTTCTCGGTCGACTGCGTCAAGGTGCAGAGCCTCGGGCAGACGTGCACCGAGTGTCTCGGGCTCTACCGCAACGCGGCGTTCACGAGCACGCTGAGCAAGTACCGCATCAAGACCCAGAAGATTGCGCAAGGCCAGATCAACCAAGACAACATCAAGTTCATCCCCAAGATCTACCTGCAGAACCCCGGCGCCGCCCTCGCGCGCTCGTTCGAGTCGCGGGCCAAGCGAGAAACAGGCGTCATCGTGTCCATCTAATATATTTGCTGCTTTACATCATCGTCTATCGGTACCGCCGCCGACTACTACGGCTGCGACTACGACTACGACGGGCGTGGCGGTCGCGCGATCGATGCCGTCGTCGGTCGCGACTCGGGTCGCGGCGACGGCCACGGCTGCGGCTTGACTCGCGACGGCGTTCACGGCTGCAACTCGCCTCGCGCGGTGCCCGAGTTGCGTCACGACGCGGGGAGAGCGACCGGCCACGTGGACTCGATTCGTCTCGTGTCGTTGTGTCAATGGTCGGTGCTAAGGAGGGCGCCTCGGTAGTCGCCGGGACAACCTCATCTTGCTCGGACTTGGTCTTGGTGTCTGCGTCTGACCCGGCGCCAGGAGGCGGTGTGGCCATCGCGTCCAGCTCGCTCTCGTCTGCGGCCGCCACTTCGCCGCGGATCGCCTCATAAGGGTTGACGACGGTCAGAGGTTCGATCCAGCGGACGCGTTGGTACGAGTACACGGCGAGCATTTCGCGGGCGACAACGTCGACGTCGGCCGTGTCGACTTCGAGGAGGACATCCCACTTGAGCGGAAGCGGTACGCCAAGGACACGCGCCGCGAGCGAGATGGCCGCGCATGCAATCACATGCGCGTCGAACCGGAGGCAGAGGTCGAGGCGGAAGCTGTCGTTGACGTAGTTCCACGCCTTTTGCGCGAGCGCGTTGGAGCCATCGAGGATCTTGACGTAGTACAAGAGAAACTTGTGCGGGTGCTCAGTCATTGCGTCAATCGAGAAGCCGACTTCGATGAGCAGCTGGCGCTCGACCATGATGATGTAGTCGCTCCACTGCGAGAAGCGCGGATCCGACGGCATGAGCAAGATAGGCTGAAGGCCCATGCGGCGGTTGCGCATGCGAAAGAAGACCTGGATGACGTCTTTGACCCGGCGCGGCTGCTCTTCGGCCTTGGCGGCGAGGAAGATGCAGCCCATTGCGACACGGAAGGCGTCAAAGTCCGTGAGGCTCTGGCCGGCGTAGAAGCGGTGCAGAAGACTTTGGCCTGTCGCGAGCACGACCTGCGGCAGCGAGAGAAGGATGCCAGCCTCTTGCACCAGCTCGCAGGCGAAGAAGCGGTGGCGCGCCTCCACGGCCGCTGGCACGCCCTCGGCAGCGGACGGGGTTGCCATGCGCTCCTGAAATGCAATCTCGGAACCTCCACCATTGAATTGCAGTATTCGTTTTAACAGGTTTTGGAGATGGCCGTTGATGAGTGAGCTGAGCTGTGATTATGCATTTTTGACTGTTGAAGCTTGGATACCCACGTCGACACTGGACTCGGCGTGTGGTATCGACATCGTTCGCCTTTTCAAGCGACTCGCCCGAGCTTTCGCCAAGCACATCAAAGGCGCTGTACTAGGAAGGCCTTATATAAACTTAGTTTAGATTGCGCTTGGCCTTCTTGTTGAATGGCTCATCAACCAGCCGCCCACGTTGCTGTCGCTGTAGAAGACGCCCTGACTCGACGAAGTCGTGCGTGACTTCGTAGCCAATGACCAAGCCGGTGCCGCCAAGCGTGCCCGAGAAGGTGGGCGATTGGAGAAAGCCGTAGGGGCAACAACGTACCATGCCCTCGACGACATCCCAACTCATGTCTTGCTCTCCGACCCTTGACGCTTGGAAACGACGGGCGCGTGGTGCGACCTCGACCGAACTCTAACCCACGGTGGTCCACTAGGAGAGAAAGCTCTCCATAAGCAGCTCACACGTCCACAATCAAGTGCCAACTCCCTGGATCTCGCTTTAGGCGCACATGTGGAATACCCATGCAAATGTAGTTGCCATCACGGTGCGTGATGGTCTCGGCGTGTCTGAATGATGGTCGCGCAGTTGTCATACGCAGTCCAGATGACCACACTCCCTAATATGCTGATGCACCAGCCCGCCGACACGGTCGTCGACGCCGTGGCGCTCGAGCTCGTGCATTGGCTCTCAGACCTGCGCGACGTTGTCGCCTTTGTGTCGGCCTTGCCGCAGCCAACGCCGGCGCTCGCAGCGCTGCTCCAGCTCCACCAGGCGATCGACCTCACGCAGCACTGGCCGTGCTTGAACCTCCAAAACATCCCAAAGCGCCACATCAACGTGGGCATCGCCGCATTAGCCGCTTTCCCGCGCGTCGCAGTGGCCCCTGCCACGAACCTCCGATGGCTCTCGGCGCCACTGCCGCGAACGACAAGCGTGCACATGCCTCTCAAGTCGTGCAACCGCACGACGCTAGCGTTTGCTCGCGCATGGGGCAGTAGTGTCCGGCATGTCTGGGTCCGAAACGCCAACGCGTTGCTTCCGCACGTGCAAGAGGTCCTCGCTTTGTGTCAACACCTTGACAGCGCCGACCTCCTTGTGTCTACTGCGACCAACGCCGGTCTCTGGGTGGACGCCTTGACACGGCCCGCGTGTCCCTTCTTCGCGCTCACCGTCGACATATCGTACATGTACGCTTCCGCAGCCGAGTGCATGCCATTGGCGCAAGCCATTCTCTCGTCGCCGTCGCTTCGTCGTCTCTCGCTGATTTGTAACGCAGCAGGCATCCACGACGCGCTACTGGCATCCAAAGGCGATCTACACCATGTGACCAAGTTTTGCGCTGTTGGAATGCCAGCGCAGCCCCTCATCAAGAAGACGGATCCAGCCAAGCTTCTCAACGTGCTCTGCAGTGGCACCTTTGATTTATGGCGTTGCAGTGCGCTTCAATGTCTCTCACTCACGCACGGCTCGCTCGATTGGCCGAGGATTGCCACCGGCTGCTGCCCCAACCTGCGCTTTGTGACACTCTTTGGCACCATTGCCGATGCCGACATGCCACTCGTCGCGCAATGGCTGAGCACCTCGCGCGTCTTGCGGTGCGTGCAGACACCATCCGACTCTGTGGGCGAACTCGGCGCCCAAGCTATGGCGGGTGCGCTGCCCCAATGGATCGCGCGGGGGCTCGAGATGTTCCGATTGGGTCGCAACCTCTAGAGCAAGCACGAGCTCTTGCTTTTAGTCCACACATTGACGGTCAAGAGTAATCGATCCAAGCCACTTCATGCATATTTGTCGCTCGGCAACAGAGCGTTGGACGCTGACGAAATGCACTCGCTACTCGGTGCCGTCGGCGCGTGCCAGAGTCTCTCGCTGACTCTGAACGGTGTGCAGACCTACGCGACGATAGGTGATCCCGAGCTG